AAACTATCTTTAAGGGCAAAATTATTAGCCTCCTTTAGACTTTTTTTAATTGTCAACAGAACAAAACACTAGCTAGTTAACCTAAGTTTATAAATGTCACTCTAAGCTGAATACTAGCGTCTTGCAAAATATCTAATCAAATATTATGTGCTGTCATCAAGGCAAAGAGAAACCAGATATTAGAGTTTAGTTATTAAACGATTAAGTTTAAACACTTGTATTAGGTTGTATTAAGTGATGTATTTACTAACATGAACAAACAACACATTTATTACTGTATTTATTCATCTTTGTTAATGTTAGTTAATGGAAATAAAGTCGTTAGTTCATGTTAACTCACGGTGCATTAATGTTAACAAGAATGAATTTGGATTTTAATTATGCATTAGTAAATGTTGAAGTATGATTAATAAATGCTGCACAAGTCTTGTTCTTTATTAATTCATGTGGGTAAATACATTAATATTAACTAAGGAAACAAAAATATAATATTAATAAAATAAAATAAAATTTACTTTATATCTTTTTATGGAGAAAATAAAAGTCTATCGTTTCATATTATGCTCTATAGTTTATTTTGTGAATATATTGTTTGCTGTAAAACTTGTTCATAATTTATACGAGCGCGATATTAATGGGGATGCAGACAGAAACAAAAAACAGCAGTGAAAACAGCATTGTGAAAGTATAAAGTTTACATTAAGCATTTTATATATCGATCATTTTTACGTTGGACCTGAAACCATTCGTCTTTAAATTTGCATTGGTCTTTATTAAATTTCATTCATATTTATTATTAATATTTCTACAATTCTAATCAAACATCTAAAGTAGAAAATAAAGTAAGAATTATGCTCACATATGAATAAGTAAAGTAATGAGTGTACACATATTTAAATGTTCTTTATATGTGGTCAATATAAATAAACTATTAATTAATTAAATTTACAGAAATAGTACTATATCGTAAAGCTATGCAATATGATTATATATATGCATGTATATATATATATATATATATATATATATATATATATACATATATATATATATATATATA